GGTTCCAAGGTTCATGAGGCCTCGGGAATCAAGAAGGTCGGGAAGTTGAAGTTGAAGATACCCTCGAAAGATTAGTGCAGAGTGGAACACAGCTTCCAAGGCGCCAGAAGCCACAACAGCATAGACTTCTAAATGCCTCGCCGCCGGCGCAGTCACAGCCGAGGATAGGGCTGTCCGCGTCTCCTCAACAGCTGGAGAAGCCGTCAAAACAGAGCGAGCGTGCAGTGACTTGGGATTTCATAGACAAACAATTGGGATTTCATAGACAAACAAAAGCCCTTGCAGTGGGGGTTTGTTGGCGGGTTTTGCAAGTGTTTTACAACCTAAATCGACAGTGGAACCTATTGACGTGCTGCAGGTCTTTGTGGCGGTTTGCCTTCGTTGAATTGTATCATGATCTGCAGCATGCTGATGCCTCTAGCTGGTCTTTTTCTTGAAATTCGTATGACTTGGTAGATGTCCGGTTTAAGGACTTGCTTCATAAGAATTCCACCCAATGCCTTGGGCCTAGACCCTCAACCGTCACATCTATACTTCTCATGAACTTCAGCACCGGTTTCATGGCAAAGTGAAAGGGTTCAGGGGTTTTGGGCTTCTGGGCTCTTTCTTTTGATTTCGGGTCTGGACCTGTGCATCCTCCAGGACGGGTGCAAAGTGGCAAAGTGAGCCGGCACTTGGGCAAGGTCCGTCCAAAGATCTTGCCGCAGTTGGCTTTGGAATTCACGGCTTCAGTTTGTTTGGACGTTAAGTACTCTGGACAGACAAGCATTTGCGACTTGGATCTTTGGACCTTACGGCTAGACAGGAACTTCTGCAGTCCAGGACCTTGCCCTTCTGAGCATCCAAAGTTTGATGCGCAGCGCAGAGCGAGAGAACCACAGCTTGAGCCGATACACAAGCCTTCCGTCAAAGCTAAACCCTTCGCCCAAAAACATCACAGCGGGGCCTGTGATGTTGGGTAATTAGAGGGCCTGTGCAAGACCAGTCACAGGGTTCCGATAGAAGAGCCTCAAGTTTTAGCTGATGTGGGGGCTTCGGAACGGTAGGATAGCAAGGGCCCAAGCAGAGTATGGCGCCTTCGGCCGGACATACAAAGCGCGACTTCGATCACGGCAGTTACGTGCAGTTCTGACTGGTTTGGTCCTATATAATAATCTAGAAGCCAGTAGTCTTCCTCTGAGTTTCTTATCTCATTGTCCATTTACCCCCGCCGCCCTGGGTCCCATTCTTATTTGGAGTGTCGAGTCTCCAACATCTATTGGGATTGGAGCACAAAGGTCCTAAACAGTTTAGCTCGCTTACAAGAAGTCGTCTAGCATCTCCGAGTCGGGCCTTGCAGCAAGCTTCAGCAAAGCTGACAACCCCTGGAAACCCTAGTTCCGAACGTCGCAATCCATCCTGAAGGCCGGGGACACCCCTTCCGTAATCATAAGTCGCAGTGACCCAAAGCTCTCATTTCCGAAAGCTCCTAGCCTGAACACCAGTGGTGCAAGTACCTCCGCAATACTTACTCATGTGAGACATGTTGTTGCCAAGTTGTATGACCTACCTTTTCTTTTGTTGCACGTAGCCAGAGCCACCGGCCTACTTATCGCGCCCTTTGGATTGAAAGCTTAAATGCCACCCCGAGCCCGTGCTGAGGATCTTCCACCCAGCTTGGCGGTCCTGAGCCAGAACGCTGGGGACGGAGAGCTGGACAACGACGATGCCAAGGAGCCAGGGCTAAAGGCCTTTTGTATGCGGAAAGCTGTTTTCGTGGATTAATTGGTCTTTTCAGTGATGCTGCAGTGGTATAGAGGGGTTTCGAAGCTGTGCCAGATGGTGTTTCCACACAAAGTAGGCGGCAGCAGCAGCAGCAGCAGCAGCAGCAGCAGCAGAGTCAACAGTTGGAAGGACCATCTATCAGATGGTTGTTTCGGACTTTCGGGTTTTTAAGGCATGCCGTAGTGACCGCGGTGCGGGCCCAAACCTTGTGTGATGGTTGTTTCGGACTTTCAGGTTTTAACGCATGCCGTAGTGGCCGCGGTGCTTAGGGCCCAAACTGTGTGTTTCACATGCTTTTGGAAATCGGAGCTCGTCACTAAACAAAAGTTCCTTTAAGGGTTCTATTTCAAAGGCCTCCAGTTTAGGAGGATGCGTGCACATGTGCATGGAGTCTCGGAGCTCATTTGCCATCTCCGACCCATCATCTCGCCCGAGAACAAGTCCTTCAAAGTAACAAGGCTGTTAGGAAACCTTCTGCTTCCTCCATGGAGGACGACGAGGGCGAGGTCCCGACAAAGGCTCCGCTTCTTCCGCGCATGCTTCCCTAATGCTGTCCCCTGCATCTCTCGGAGCATAGGTTCTCAATTCGATGGTTGAGGGTATTGAACAAAGGGTTCCAGAACCCGAACATCGACACATTCTAGGTTGCGTAGGGCTAGCAGATCGTTCTGGGACTGCCAAAGATGTGGATTTATTGCGGACGTGCCATGGTGGCACATGAAGTTGATGTGGTCCAGACCCTACTTGTACTTCGTATGCGAATCGGCTTCCCTGTTCGAGGACTGATTAATTTGTATTTGTTTCAGTAGAAGACTGTCGCCATGAAACAGTAACCTGATTGAATTTGGCTTTGGGCTGCTCATGTTCGCCAGGCCGCTAAGAAGAAACGGCGCGAGTGAGTGGATTGGCGGGGATCGACGTGTCGGGCACTCATGCAATCGCAGCGGAGCTTCATCCAGCTTTTCGCAACCTTTAATATATTCCGGACAATATCATTTGAAGGGTTCTCGGCTGGCTACTGCACCTGAAGTGGCACGGAGAGAATTGGGAGGTTAGAGGAGCATGGACCGCCCCCAAGTGGTTTGGGGGATGTGGCTCCACCGGGTAGCTGCTAATGGGCAGAACATGTCTGGAATGTGCGTCGTCGGAGAAAAGTCATCATCCGACACAAGGTTTCGAAATCCCAAGTGTCAGAAACGGTTTTCCCCGAGAGCCATAAAGTTTCACAGAACCTTTTAGGCCTAGATCAAACACTTCAACTTCGAAGTCCTGCTGCTAGACGCCTGGCATTGCTGCTCCTCGAAAAGTGACAGTAGATGGTGTCTGGATGCTTTTAAGGTTCAGTAGGACCTGCCGTGGAGTTCACTGATGCAGCTTCAACCAAATCAAGACCTACAAGGGTGTCCGAAACTACGGGACTCCAATATATAGTACCCTAAATACTAGGATCCTTATTATAAGGACCCCCAAAATAAGGTCCTGATTATGAGGACCCCCAAGATAAGGTCCTTATTATAAGGACCCCCCAAATAAGGTACCCCTAACAGGATCCCAATCACAGGGAGCCCGATCTGGGATACCCTGGTTTCATTGCTGGGACTCACAGGCCTTGGACTACCCCAAGGCTCCAAAGTAGTTCCTTTTTGGGGTTCATATATAGAATCCTATAAGGTAATCCCAAAAAGGAACTACTATGGAGCCTCTGGGTAGTGACAGAATCACGGCATCAAGATAAAATTGGGTCTAAATTCGGACTTATTACATGTAATCTGTGATCATTGACCCCTTCAGATCTCACAATCGAAGACCCAACGGACATTGGATTGGGTAATGATGACACGCTAAGTGTTGGCAAGCATGATGTGGTTTAAGACTCTACTCACGGACACCAGGCACTCTGCACACTGGTTGGCCAGAAGTTACATGTGTACCGAATGCCTTCTAGACCCAAGTCTTTGACCCCACTATTGCATCGCTTTCACGGTGGTTTCTGTTCACGACTTCCACCAAAAAATCCCTCCGATTCTGAACTTAGTACGGCTACGAAGGAGTGTGGTGCACGCAGTCCGCCTGTCACGATCTCGTCCACAACATCCAATATCCAGCCTGCCATTGGTTGAACTCTTTTCCAGTTGCAAGGCCTGACCTCTGAGTACTCCGGCCTCTGAGTAACCGAGCCATGCCAGGCCTGAACCCGAGCACTCCCTAAATCGCCGTGCTTGCCGCACCAGCCTCTAGCAGGTTCAAATCTTACCTATATAGTCATATACCGTCATATACCTACAGTTTCCGGCCTGTAGACTTGATGCTGCTCTTGCCAGGGCCCTAGAGGAATCCGGAGTCGCCAGCGCATGGAAATGGTTTTGGTAGGAGTTTCGGTGAGCCGCTGGCATGCCTTGTCAGATCCTTGGCAAAAAGCTTGGGGTACTAGTACTTGCCCAGTTTCAACAGATGCTCCTACACGTCCAGATTTAGAGACGCATCAAAGCAAGTTCTTGTTCAAAACAGCATGACTCTCGAACTGCAGAACTTTGCTGAGGCTCGGGCCCTTTGGGGTAGTCTTCCCGCCCACAAGGCTTCCTCCAAAGTTCTTCTCCATCGCCGTAAGATCGCTCCTGGAGCCTATAATAGGATAAAGCGCGCAGCTACGTATGAGTCCGTAAACATGAATGAAGCCTGAGCCCCAATTACCTAAACGCGAAAACCTGAACCCCATACAACCTCACTATCCGACAAGGCTTAACGCGCCAATCGCTAGACCCTAACCACCGGCTGAGGTGTGCCAGAGGCCCTTGCAGCGTGCTCAGCCATCCGTGGCTCAATTGGGCTCAAGGGTTTGGGTTTATTGCTTCAGGGATGTATTTAGAGTGTTGAGTGTTGAGTTTGCCGGACACTGGGCCTGCTGAGGGTTTGGACTTAAGGCTCCTTGAAGGTTTGTGGGTGTCACGGTGGTGAGCTACAGCGGTTCGAGGTTTCGGGCGAGTTTTCCGGTGTGGTGTAGTGTAGTGTTGCTTGGGGAATGATAGAGCCCCTGCCATGCTTATGTGCAGTTCAGCACTTTGATATCTGTAAAACGGTCAATCGGACATTTCTTCGCCTTGCCAACACAATCCGAAAGAGCCCAACATGTTATTTAGCCTGGTTTCGGGAGCATGGCGCCATATCGAGTCTTGCATAATCTGCAGCTTGGCCTTTCAGTGTAGTGGCCCAGCAGTCAGCAACCAGAGTCCGGCTCCATGGAAATAACCGCAGCCCGCGGGGCTTCAAGGAGCGACCTTGGGAACGGCAGGGGAGCTCTGTGGCTCTTCCTGGCTGTAGTGGGGCTGCTCCAGCCTGTAGCCGGGAAGCCCGAGGTGTGCCAGTGTGACTTTGGGAGCAGCGCTTGGGAAGATAACATGACGGACATGATAGAGCACATCGGTAACTTCGGAGTTGATTTTCCCGACGGAAACCACATGGCAACACAGTTCATCCGAAACTATAAATGTCCGAAGGATGCACCTGAGACCGACTGGAAGTGCAGGCCCGAGCAGTCAGCAGTGTCTGTTGTCTGCAGCCTACAGGCCTTATGCGCAACCACGCGTCGGCTCATTGAGCCTGGAACGATATACAGGCGTGATCATTATTATGACGTGAACACTGCGCACTATCAGGCTGTTCGGCAAATCAGTCTGCGGTTTGCAGAGGCTGTAAAGTCCGAAACCTTGCAGCAGAGGAGGGTTTGTGAAGAGCAGCGCGTCTCCGCGGAGAAGGTGACGGCCCAGCAGAAGTTCGAGGCGCGAAGAGCAGAGGCTCAGGCCAGGGAGGAAGCGAAGAAAGCCGAGGCCGAAGATGCGCAGAGGAGTCGCGAGGCGTGGCAGGCACGAGCCGAGGCCGCAGAGAACGAATTGAAGAGGGCCGAGGCATCTGCGAAGAGAGCGGAGCAGCTTCTCAAGGAGGCCCAGGCCAAAGAGGAAGCGAAGAAAGCCGAGACCGAAGGTGCGCAGAGGAGTCACGAAGCATGGCAGGCACGAGCTGAGGCTGCAGAGGACGCGCTGCAGAGGGCCGAGGCATCTGCGAAGAGAGCGGAGCAGCTTATCAAAGAGGCCCAGGCCAAAGAGGGAGATGGCCAGCTCTCCGAAAGTCCAGTCCCGCACGTTTGACGAGGCCATCATGACAGAATGGGTGCAGAAGGCAACCGCAACTAATCCAAATGCGTCTCAATTTCCGATTGTTCGCACTCAACAAGGTTTGCAAGAATGTGCGTGCCCCGGCTGCCCAGCGTCCGGAGCGACCAGGGCTCCAAATGTTCTTGAGGCCATGGCCAATACGGGCACCGACAAGGGCCCCTCCCGACACCAGTATCAGCGCTACTACGACAAGTGGCTTGCCCCTTTTCAGTTCAAGCAGGGCTTGAAGCTTGTGGAGATCGGTGCTGAGCGTGGGGGCTCGTTGCACATGTGGAGCAAGTATTTCCAAAATGCATCGCTGATTGCTGGCCTGGCATACGGTGCCTCTACCGAACATGTAGAGGAAAGTGCGCAGGCGTGGGACAAAGTTGACGTGTACTGGGGTGACCAATCCAAGAAGGAGACGATGCAACTCCTTGCTGACAAGGGCCCTTGGGATGTAGTCATCGACGACGGGTCCCATTATCCGGCGCACCAGATCTTCAGCTTTTTCTCGCTGTGGAATTCCGTAAATCCAGGTGGTCTTTATGTCGTTGAAGACCTGGAAACGAATTATTGGGCAGCCGGCAAATCGATCTATGGCTACACCCTGCAAGGACATGGGATTAGCAACGGACCTGACCAGTCGGCGGTGGCGAAGTTCAAGCAGTTCATCGACATCCTGATGCGCAATGACATTGGAGCCCCAGATCTCAGCATCATGAGTGGTGATCACCAGATATGCTCCATCGAGTGGGGCATGAACCTCGTGGCCTTCAAGAAGTGCACCGCTGCAGAGATGGCCAGCTCTCCGAAAGTCCAGTCCCGCACGTTTGACGAAGCCATCATGACAGAATGGGTGCAGCAGGCAACCGGAACCAATCCCAATCCAACCGCATAGGTTCTGTGATCTAGAATTGCCTGCGTGCTGATAAAAGTCTTATAGACGCGCATGGAGCTCCACAGGCTGGGTGTCCATCCATTTGCGCCGTAAAGTTTGCATGTGTGTTCTGGTCGGTCGTGCTTGTTGGTGATAGCAGTGTCCCAGTTGGTGTGCTGATCTGCTTTGCATGGCGCGTCCGTCATTGAGATGATTTACCCGTTTTGGTGGTGCAGCTCGGTGGCTCGCTTGCTGCGGGACAACCACTTCCTGAGTTTCAACACAACGTTTAACATGTGCGCCGCCACTGCCACCAGAACCACCACCGCCGCCGCCACTGCCTCCCGGTCCCGCTACCACCAGCACTACCACTTTCACAGCGGCAGTCGCCACCACGACCACCAGCAACACTGCCAGCACTACCGCCACCACCACCACCACCACCACCACCACCACCACCACCACCACCACCACCACCACCACCACCACCACCACCACCACCACCACCACCACCACCACCACCTCAAAGTCAAAGAACGAACCGCAGGCCTTATTGAAGTTCCCTTGGAACCACACCATGCCTCCCGAGTGGTTTCTTTTCTGCAATGGCCGAAGTGTGATTTTGATGTTGCAAAGGGGAGAAGGGTCTTTTGGTCTTTCAGTCCTGCTGGAGGCTCCTTTCTCGTGTGACTGTCCACTCCGTGCAGGCCGGCTCCTTTCAGAGTGGAGTTCGTCCACCCAGAGGCATGCGGCAAAAAGATGCAGCAGCTACTCTCTTTCGTTGTATCAGGGTCTCGACCCTGGCACCCTCACTTTACCGGTGTCGCTAGACAAGCTGCTTCGCTGACATACAAGAGATTCGTGGAATGGCATCTCACCTTTCCGAATCTGAGTCTGCGCATCGTGCCTAAGCTAGGCCTTCTAGAAGCGGAAACCCTGCACCTCCAGGCGGTCGTAACGTTCCTGTTTGTCCGGATTGGTCTGTGTGCAGGGGATGACTGCAGTCGTGGACTGTATGGCTGACCTCTCAGCATGCTGTATCACTGTGTGCAGGAAGGTTAAGCGGCAGACCTGAAATGCTTGCGTGTTGATCATCCTTGAAGACGAAGCACATGGGTTTACGCTTTGGGTCTCACGGGCTACACTCCAAAAATCGCCCCGAACCAAGACCCAAGACCAATCAGACACCTTTTGCACCCATAGGCCGAGGTCAATCCCTACGTCTAAAAGTCTGCGGGTTGAGGGCGGCGGGTAGCAGTTGTTCTTATCAATGCTTCACTTCACTCTAGCTAAGACACTGTATGTCAACCTCTGTGGCACAGAGGCTCCTAAACGAAGTGAGAGAGCGCAATACCAGACCCTTCGCTGAACCCGAGGACCCAACCACTATAAAGCCGTTCTTGTCTGTTGGTTATGTCATTGAGCAGCATGCCCAATTCGCTGCGACTCCCGACAAACTTACAGACCCCACGAGCAGCATGCCCAATTCGCTGTGCCACTTTCTAGTATTAGAAAATGTGCTGCTAAACGAACAGCATGCCCCCTTTGGCTGCGGGGGCTCTTGTTCTCGTTAGGTGTGATGCCCGGAGTGTTATGGAATCGCACAGGGTATGGCAGGGTTGCTTTGTACAACTTTACGGACACATAAGGACACTATAACTAGAGTGCAGACCCACGGATCAGGGATATTGCTATAACTCCATCCGTTGAAGCACTGCAGCAGCATGTTTCTTTTTTGCACATCCCTTGCCATATCAATGTGAATTGTAGATTGGCTGACACAGGTGCGAAAGGTCCCTGAACTCCACCGCGTGGAGAGGACCTTGATTCTGCGTGCTGGCATCGCCGTCCTGCCGGTAACGCCGGATCACCGCATTTCACTGCCGACGGGTGATACGGCAACTCGTCTCTTGTTTCAGGCTTTGAGCGGTTTACAGAATTCAAGTGGCTATAGGTATTGGTGATAAACGCGCTCAGAACCTGCAAGCATGCGACCATTGTCCCGCAGTTGTGATTTAGCGGGTAGCATGCAAGTAGCACCAGGTAGTTTCGTGGAAGCTTGATGCTGCTTTCAGGTGCCGGCTGACACGCTTCGCGTCGGTCAGGAGGTCATGGTGCAAAACACGCGAACCCAACTGACCAGCATTGAGCTGAGCTCTGTGCCTGTCAACGTCTTGAAGCTGGCCTTCGCCCCTTGACCGGTATGGTCAGTGTGCACCTGAGGGCTGATCTGAATTTGTTGACCATGATTTGGACAAACCGTTGTAGTATCATGGTAGCATTCATTCAGGTAATCACCCGCACCTTTAGCGGGACCCGAATCGTGAACCCGCCTAGTAGGAGTATGGTTGCACTTGCACTGTTTGTTCAGCATTTTCAGTTTGGCTGAACCCAGCGGACCCAGCGCCGGGATCTCTTCCAACAATGATTTTGTGTGCGTACAGACCCAATATGCCCCAATTACCTGCCTCAATCCGTAACCAAACGCCAATGCTAAGACAAGCAGCCCCCTGGACCATTCGTCATGATTCCGCGCCTGGCTGTGCGAGAGCGAGTCGTAACCCATAATAGCAAAAGATCCTACAGAACCCTACACAGCCCCACTGATGCTTTTGAAAACCCCTCGGGATCTCTCTCGCGCGCTCAGGATCCGGACTTGCCTGTGGAGGTCTTGGTGCCCCCGCCCGCCATCCAGTCTAAGGGAGCTGCGAAGAAGGCCGTTATCCCCCAACCTTATAAACTTTGAGCATCAGAGTCCGTGGTTTCAATGACTGTAGCAACAATCTGAACAACTATATTCATAGCAAAAGTGCATACAGTCATACATTTCAAAAACATACGTTAACCATCGGTAGTTGCAACACCTGCCAGAATGTGTCCGCCCTAGCATGTCGAGGCTTATGTTGTGGGTGTTGAAGGCTTGGGTTTCGGCAGCCTTGGGAGGCCCTGCGTCGCAGCCTGGTGGGGCGTCGTGGAAGTTCGGAGGAGCCCAGCATCCCCGACACGGAGGCGGAATACCAGGACTAGGTCTCTTGAACTGAGGGGATCCCCCAAAAGGAGGCGAAACTGGGGGGGGTGGGGGGTGAACGATCACTATCCATATCCCCTTAGAGTCCCTCAACTTATACTTAAAGTTAGGCCAAGCTCTGAAATTGGTAGACCGGAAACGTAAGTGGGCCTCTATATTGCTCTTCTTTCCGGTGCTGTTTCTTGTTGTTTGTTCTTTGCAAAATTTCGGGCGAAGTCTATAATGCGTTGTTTAGCTCAAAGATTTATTTTTGGTTTGCAGTGGCCCTTTCTGCTAATGGCCAATCTTAAGTAAGTAAAGGATGAGGAACCTAGACTCTCAACCCCAAGACCGTGGAGGGTACCCATACAAGAAACTTGGAACCCTATCCCCCCAAACCTTAAACCCAAACTTCATAAACCCTTCTCTAAATTGGTCAATCTCACCCAGACTCCGAAAATCCCAGAGGCCAAACCAAGCTTGCGAGGGTCAGGGGGGTCGGACAACGTACTTTTCAGGTCACCGGCGAATTACCCCCAATACCCTGGTGCCATTGGTAAGGCCCCTGAAGTACAGGATTGAGGGTTTGTTTCGATGGCTTCAAGGCTTCAAGTGTTGAGCTTTGCGCTTTGGAAGAGCCGGATCAAGGCTTGCAAGGGTACATCTCCTGCAGAGAATCAAAGGTAGATGGGTCGTTGTTTAGCAAAGACGCTGTGGGTGCCGAATGGTTTTGAGAACGGAGGGTTGTCTTTGTTGAATGCTGAATTTGCAGCAGCTGTGACTCGAATTTATTGAATCACGTGAAATGGGTGTTCAGCAGAACGGAGGGACATGGGGCACAATAAGCATAATACTTGATGAGATTTGATCCTAACCGATGCCTCTGGGGGAAGTCCCCATAATTCAGCTCTGGGCTGTCGCCAGAACGGCTGCATCATTTCAACAATTTCAGTCGAACGATTCTGCTGGCTTTTCTCTCTCTGCCTTGACCAATCTGGCTGAAAACCTTGTCGCGAGACGTACTATAAACCTTTACATACGCGAACCGGTGAAGCCTCAGATCCTTAATAAAATGTGCAGCAACAAGAACTCGACCGCAGAGAATCCCTAAAGTTGCCGAGCCAGTAAAGGGAGAACGGCCAAGTGTGCACAGATGACGCATACTAGTTGCATCCGACGATCTTCCGTGTCATCTTGTGCCCGAGCCAGGACATTCGAAGTTTTGAAAAGGACTTGCAGCGCACGCCGCCCGCTTTATGTCTCGCAAGGGTCCGAAGACCACGGTGTAGGAATAATTCTTTCTGCCTTGCTGGACCCAATGCTGGGCTGTTGTGCCTCTTATCCGCCTTAGATGCCAGGCGTCCACCTGAGCTGCTTGCATGCTCCTGTACAGTACAATTGCTGGACGCGGCGCAGAAGGCGCCGCTTCTCTAGCCTCTCTCCACCCGAGGACCTGTGTGGATCGTGAAGAGTTTGTAGGACTCCATGACAATGAAGGTCGCAAGTGTGCCGGGGAGCAGAGGCTGCGGCTGGCAAGGAGGTTTAATATCCTTTGTGCCAGAAAAGTTGTGTCCAAGACCTCGAGGAGTCCCCAACTTGCCCCAGTCATCCTGCAGACAGTGTGCAGATTGAAGACCGCATCGCTGAGGTACTGCTCCGAGATGAGGCCTTGCTGATCTGCTGAGACGGTACTATGCCGACGTAGGAGTTGCTCCAACGTGGCATCTCTTACGAGAGACTTATTAATGCAAGCTCAGAGATGTCCCTACATCAAGGGGCAGAGAGTTTAGTATGGAACATCAACGACCATCAGCTTCCTGCAAATGTTTGAAGAATTTGATTTCCACTGCTGCTTACTACTTACTTGAGATGAAACCTGAAACCGGACAAAACCTACCCTACGCTTGTAAAGGCCCGAGCAACCCTGAGCCCCAAGTCCAAAGGTATGCGCTATGCCTAAGCTTGCTTTCCGAAATCGGAATCCTTGTACAGGAGTCTCCGACGGCCAGTTTCGATGCAGGGTAGCGCAGGGCATGACCAGGAGGGCCTGCCTGAGGAAACATGTGCATGTCATCGCCTAGCCTGCTACAGTCACGAGCGAGATACTTCAGGAGCGCTTATCGTCTTTTGAACTTCCCAAATCTTGCCGTGCTTGTGCATAGTTTTTGGCCCAAACCGTCTAACACGGGCGCACCGGGCCCATCGCCGGGCACGACATCCTGCTCCTCTGGCTTTTGTTGTCAGGTTTCGGTCGGCTGAAATCAGAATTGGCGCCCCCACAGCAAGAAGTATAGAGCGTCGCTAGGTGACTGATGGACCGGCTCCGCCCGCATGAGCTATTTGAGCTTGCACCAGACAAGTGCTGTAGGTGCTGCTTAGGACCGTACCAGGTGCAGGTGGTTCAGCACCTCGTTTTGAGCACGCAGGTGGGACCGTAAACCCATCTCCGCAAAAGCTCGTCCATTGGAATCCATACAGGTGGGGGCCTAAAGTCTGTAGGAGGGTGGAGTGTTTCGGATAGGAAAAAGTTAGGAAAAAGTGTCGAGATGCTTCTTGATGCGTCAGATGTTTCTGTCAGATCCGGAGGCGTTGCCGACGATCGCAGATTGAGCAAAATTTGATGCAAACTTCCTGTACATTAGGCGACGCAGTTCGCCTCCAGACTTGCAGTCGCTTGGTCTCGCTTCCAACAATCCTTCTGCCATTGTCGTCATGCTCCTGCTTCCTTTCTCGGCACAGTCATGCGAAAGGCGATGATAAAGCTATTGGTGTAGAGAAGCACAAGAACAGCTTTTGCGAACGTGGTTCACAGCCTGAGCCTGACTTCAACTAGTACCTGATGCGAGGCCGAAGCCATCAACACAGATGATTCAGGCCTTCTTTTCAGAAGGAACACGAACAGAGCGCTGCTGGGGCGAGTTGCGTTGGACCAGTCGTCCCACATCCGTGCGGCCACAGCGCAGTCCCTGCTTGACTTGTCGCATTCGTTGCAGTCGATGTTCACGCCTTTCTGTGTTTACGATTTGGGGAAACCAGCCCAAGTGCATGCTGGCAACTGTTCGAAATGCCCATTCCAAGCGCCAAAGATACATGCTTGATCCGGTACAAAGGATGAGATGAAGCTCGGAATCTGCTTTCACTTCGAAGCCTTCGATGAGATATCTTGAAAACGGCCGAATACGCAGGCAGTGTGCATTTGGGGAGTATTTGGGGCCTTTGCCGCATCTGCACGGCCGCAATTGAGCATGCAGTTACCTGCAGTAAGACTGCCCTTGTTTGAATGCTTGACATTGGGCCTTCGCTGCAGTCCCTTCTCCAGCTTTCTTTCGCCTACTTGGCAAAACTGCTCCCCGGCACCCAAAAGATCCATGATCAAGGACGCTCACCTACAGGGCCATGGCTCGCAGGTTCGCCCTGCACCACAGATGACTTGACAAGCTTGTAGTGGCCATTTCTCAGCGGTCGGTGCACTGTAGCTCCAACGTGTACTGTGCCGGAGGCCGGGCCTAAGCATTGTGGTGGCTTTCTTTGGTAAGCCTGCATGCGAGAAAGCAGCCAAAGCTTGGCAGTCGCATCGTGGCAGTTGCGCAACCAGCTGACGCTGCGACACTGTGCCCTGAAGCCTCAGGCCTTGATTTTTGTTGCAGAGTTGGGCCATGGGCCTTGTAGGAAAGCCTTGACCGAGAGCAGTTGCTCGCAGGTGCACCGCTCACAAGAGTCGCTTGACAAGCTGTACGCATGCTTAATCCGGTTCATATCTTCAGACACTGCCATGAGGCTTGTCACGCATTACTTGACTGCCCTCTCGCAGCATTTTGTCACGAATATACGGGCAAGGGCGTGCGTGTGTCCGAGGAGGCGTGCGCCAGTTCCGCGTGAAGGTAGCGGCAAGGAGCACCTGGTCATACCGTCTCCAACATGCCCGGAATTCGCTACTCCTGATCTCCGGAATCTCAGTTGACAGCTTCGTCGGGGCTTGATGGCGACTGTGTGAGAGCTGCCACGCAAAACGGAAACATCGCCAAGGTGCGGTTTGAGCCCCAATGTCGTTCACCGTGACTAGCAGCAACATGCAGCCCAGCAACATGTCTGGCAAGGCCAGCTGAAACAAAGTCCGCGACAATCCTACAAAGTTTGATCGAGACCATGTTCGTCCCTGCCGAGGCCGAACTCAACAGAGGACAGCCTACATTCCGGCCTTGAGCAAAGTGGTGGCGCAATCCATGCTACGAAGCTCTGGGCTGCGTGGAAAGTCTGCGCTGCTGGCGGACAGTCGCAGATTTCTAGTCCGGCATCACGAGCAGAAGGAGAAGTGCCGCCCAGCTCAGGGGTGCTTTTCTATCGTCTCGCTTCCTTCCGGGAGCTTGCGAGGCCACCACGGCTCTGAAGCGGCCGAATGGGGGTCTGGGTTCTTCCGTGATCTTGATGTTCTAGGGAATCATGTCCGAGAGTTGTAGACGCCCCGGTGGCGGGGAATGGCCATGTTGCGAGGGAGGGGAAGCTTGTAAGGTGGTTCGGAAAGCCCTTATAAGGGTGAGGGCAGCCTTTCAGCCCTGAATCTGAACTTGCTTGGCCTCAGGGTTGGCATGGGAAGGGTTAAATTCGGACCTCTCTCTTTGCATTCGGGATCGTGTCTTCTCGTGTCTCAGTCCCAGATTGACTCTGTTAGCAATACCAAAGTAATTACTCAGCCAGTGCCGGCTCAGTCTGAGTCTGGACTTCGACGCCGCGATGACTGCCAACATGCCGGCAAAGCTCCTATTTCCGGCACGGTGCGCTGCACACCACGCATTTTCGGACAGAAGATCTGTGCTCGTGTCTCTGCTGGGTGCGCTTTGGGAACGGAAGTGTTGCAGACGGTTACGCCCAACGAAGCCTTGCCTCGCAGAACGCCCTCGTGACCTCTGCGTAGTGGCCATGTATTGGTCTCAGCAGCCTGGTACTGCGCCACATCTTCCCACAGAGGCAGGGTACCGACTGCAAACCGTAAAGTAGAGGCTGCGCAGGTGGAGGTTCAGCG